AAGCAGCGGATGTTTTTCTGCCTCTCAGCTGAGCGTGCCACAGCGGATTAATGCGTCCTCTTTTGGAGCTGTTTCTGGAACGCTGTGGATTTGCCGGCGTTTCCCTTGTGCTGTCTCTAACTGAAACAGATGCTGTGCGTTGTTTTGGGGTTGAGGAAGGCTGACCTTGCTGGTCCCTGGGAGAGCTGGGTTCAGTGGGAACTCTGCTGTGACCCCTCTGTGGCCTCCGGTGATGCATGAGATTTCTGAACCTCAACATCCCTTCATAGGCCAGTCAATAGTGGATTCTGCAGTGTCTCAAGTTGATGGCAACGTTTCAGCCTAAACCAATTGTTTCTGGTGATGAATACCTAAAGTCACTTTCCTTTGTGCTGTGCTGCCCAGAATGAGACAAGCTATTTCATTACTGTTACTTCTGCCTTTGTTTTTTTGACTTTCTTCCTCCAGCAGATGATTATTTAACGGGATTGAAGGAGCTGGTGTTTTTCTAACCCATCTGACTCCCCGTGGCTTCTGTTGAAAAACCAATACCTGTTTACCTCTCCTGGGTGTCAGCTCCCCCCCAGGGCGGTGGCTGAGGTGTGGGCAGCTTGTCCCTCTCCGTAACTGCTCTCAGCTCTGCCTCAGGCTGGCGAGGAAGACGCTGGAGTCGAATAAGCAGGAGGGGAGGGGGAGCCGTCTGTTGCTGTAGCTCAACTTGCGGGCGATGGTGGTGTTGTCCTTGCGGCACCCCGGCCCTTTGGTGACTGTGAGTGTGGCTGTCAGCCTGTGCGACGGCACAGGGAAGATTCGCGGTTCCCTTCAGTGCAGCCAGCCGGGAGCGGCTATACTTTATACCGTGATATGTGTCAAATCAGTGGAGGCTGTCTGCTGGCGCAGGCTGCGGGGGCGGTGGTTTTGTTGCCGATTTCCACCCCCGTCTACATTTCTCCACTTTCACACTGTCCCTGTTCAGAGGGAGCCTAGCTCTTCACCTCACCAGATTTTTTTTTGTTGTTGTTGTTTATTGCTTCTACATTACTGTGTAGGGCAAAGTATAGCTGCAGGGACAGTCCTTCGGTCGGGCAATGCTGCTCCCTGGAGGCGGTGCAGCCGGGCTGTGTTGGCAGAGGAGCTGGTGCGTTCGGCAGGGGGGCTGGAATGGAAGGTTAATGTTTTGCTTTTCTTCCCTCAGGCACCTCAAGGATGTGATCCTGCTGACAGCTATAGTCCAAGTGCTGAGCTGCTTCTCACTCTACGTCTGGTACTTCTGGCTCTTGGTAAGCCCCTGCAGTTTTCCTTGTTGCTCTACGTTGTCTGTTTTTCCCTGGCTTCAGAGCTGAGGATATTATTTATCCATTTAATTTCATGTCCTGTTTCAGGTCACAACTATCTTCTGATAAATTTTATAATCTCCCTGTCAAATCCTGTTAAAAATCTCATACAAAGGAAAGAACTCCTGATCCCTTTGAGTCAACCATGCAAGAACTAGGCTGGCCTTGGCCTTTCTCTCCGGTCCTGTGAAAGGGCAACAAGAAACATGAGGCAGATCAAAGCCATCTTTGTGCGTAGAGCCTTTTTCTGATTGTGGCACAGAGACTGTGCTGCTTCTTGTTTGGTTTTCTCTGTCATTCACCAGCACAGACCAAGGCTGGGAACTGCTGGATGCTGTGCTGCTTGGTAGATCAAACGCTGTAGGCTTTGATTTCTTCTTAACACACCAGACTCTTTCTACTCCTGAGACATTTGTCATATGCCTCCAGCTAAAACTGCTTTTGCAGAAGGATAAAAAAATATCTCCAGTCAGTTTTAAAAAAATTAAATCCCACAGTTGCTTTGAATATATCGCGCAAAGGTATAGAAGGCAATTTTGGGAGCGTAGAAAGTTATCTCATTTCAATCCTTACTCACAAGTTGCTCTCTAGCTGGCCTGGCAGAGGGCAGCCTGAACTCTGACTGTCCCCCGGACACCATCCAGATCGCATTTGTTTTCATTTAGAGAAACGGGGGTGTTTTTTTTCTGAAAGAGGAAGAGGCAGAATGTCTGGGCAGTTGGATCTTTCTGGGTAATTCAGACCTGATGCTGGCATTTCCATATATGAAGCCCAAGTGCTGTATACGTATGCAAGTTCCTAAACCGTATGAAATCAGGACATTTATTTTGGACGCCTGCCACTGCCTTTGATTTCTGTGCATCCTGTGATGCCTCTGATCCAGCCCGTAAAGATATTCCGGCGCCTTCAGCTTCCTCAGTAGGACCAGCCCCGCTGACTGTAGCACCACCCCTGCCAAAGCTGTCCCCAAAGTGACCGAGTTTGTGCCACACGTGTTTTGCAGGCTCCGGGACGTGCTCTCTACCTCCTGTGGGTGAACATCCTGGGGCCCTGGCTTACAGCTGACTCTTCGCCTGCTGGTCAGGAACCAAACGAGAAGAAGCAACGCCGACAAGAACGCCGCCAGATGAAGCGCTTCTAGCCTTGGCTGGGGAAGATAGATTAACGCCGTCTCTCATCTCCATGCTGTTATTTCATCAGAGATGCGACCGAAACCAATCCGAAACCATCGCAGTAGCTATATTGCCCTCTGTCATTGCTGCCATTCTGCTAGAAAGGCTGCAAGAGACTTCCCTGGGTTGGTTCTTCGTGCCAGTCGAGGCCTTGCTCCTTGGGATGGCAAGGGGTGATGATGCTGGGATGTGTGTAAATACCTTTTTAAAGCAGCGCCGTATCGCATTTGAGGTTGGGGATTGCAACGTTGGAGGAAATAGTACATTAAAGAGCAGAGTCTAATTGACTGTGCTGGCAGTGTGTTCATACAGGGGGGATCGCAGAGGGGAGCTGTTAAAAATGCCAGCATATTAGTGGAGACCTGCACCAGCGGGAAGCAAAATCCCCCAAGACAAGGGGGCTCATCCCTTCCCGAGCTTGCCCTGTGCTGCCCTGCCCGCCGGAGCATCTGCTCTCTGCAGAGGGGTCGCAGCTGCCCTGCGAGATGGGGAGCGTGGGCAGCTGGGGGTGCCGTGAACAGGGCTTGCAGCCAAAGTGGGAGCCTTTGGGTTTGTGCCTGGGCTTCCTGGAGCCACAAATTGGCCCGTGCTACCTTTGCAGGAGCTCAGTGGGATGAAAGGCTGCAGCTAAAAGAAGCCAAAATGAAATCTGTGATGTTTTTTTGGGTTTTTTTGGGGGTTTTTTTTGTTTTTTTTTAAACTTCTCTCTTTTAAATCAACTCTCCCAGGGGTGGCACAGCCGGGGTGCTGTGATTGCTGCAGCGACCGTCTGTTAGAGACCAGGTACAGCTCAGGGCAGCTTCTGCTTTTGCCTACTTTGATTTATTAATGTTGTCCCTGCCCAGTAGGGTGTTTTACACACTTCGCTGACCCCTTCCTGCTCCTGACGCACCAGCTCGGCGCCATGCAGCTCTACCTGCGCGAGCGAGACGCACGGTCAGTGTTGGCAGGGGTGCCAGCCCGCCCTTTGATGCCATCCACAACCTTTTGCCCACACTTTGTTTCCATTACGTCATTTTTATTACACGCTTTTTTCCCCCCAACATCAAGCCCGATCCCCTCCTGTGCCTCAGCGCCAGGCAGAGTGGCTGTAGTTGGGGTGCAGAGCGATGGTTAATTGTGGGCAAATATCTAGGAGTCCTTTGTGGGGGCGGGAGGGAGAGCAGAGACTGGGATTTGGGGGATTAAAGCCCTTCCTGCTGCTGGTGAGGGAAGGGGTAGGGAGTGAGAAACGCACACACGGGGCCATCGGTGGGTGCGGGCCAGCCCCGATTCCCTGCCAGGCACAGCCCAGAGCCCCCCCAGCCCCATCTGGCTCCGAGGAGGTGCCCCCGCTCTGCCCTCAGGGCATCTCCTCCCCATCGCAACCACCCCCAGCACAGCCTCTTACGCCCCTGGGGGGGACCAGCCCCTCTCCCCAGCTCTGCCCTCGCTCCCTCTGAACCCTCTTCTCCGGCTCCCCAAAGCCACACGGAGCCGCGCAGCCGTCCCCAAAATGCACAGGGGAGGGTGTGTGCGTGGCGGGGGGAACACACACATCAACACTAACCACACCGGCCCTCCCGGACACGCTACCCTACACAGTGGTACATGCACAGCGGCCACCTGGGTGTTTCCCTTCTCCTCCAGGCTTCAGCCTCAATAAATATCCAGTAAATGGCACCAGTTACGGCCTCAGGGAGCTGGTTTTGGGGGGGAGGGTGTGACACCCCTCAGTCGGGCAGCAGCTGCTCCAGCTCCTCCTCGTTCAGGCCGTTGGTGGTGACGATATGGTCCAGCTGCTTCATGTACCGCTCCAGGTCCTGCATGAAGTGGGGGATGCGGGCTTTCTCCAGGACCCCAAATTTTTTCAGCCGATTCACATCTTCATAGGAGACCTGATGGGAAGCAGGGAGGTGGGAGGCGGTCAGCATCTCCCCATCCCATCTGAGGAGAAGGGAGGGGGGGGTCTGCCCCCCCTGCAGCCCCCCTGGGTCACCCCCCCCCATCACCCAGACACCGGCAGAGCTGCTTGGGGGCGGGGTATTTGCAAGGATTTGTGGGTTTGGTCATTTTCTGTCACTGCAGGGACAGAAGACAGCAGGATTGGCGTGTGGCCATGGCAGAGGACCAACAGAGCTTAACCCACTGTGTTAAGCCTCTCCCAGAAGATCTCACACGGAGCAGGATGGATTGTCCCATCCTTCCTTGCATCCTACCCAGCACAGCCCTTCTCCGGCCCCACCGGAACCCAAACCCGCAGCAAAGAGCTGATGGGTGGATGGCCAAGGGCTTGTTTTCAGGGAAACATGGGACTGTGGAAGCCCGTGTGAGATGGCATCTCTGGGATCAGGGACTTTCCCCCCACCCCGAGGTGTTACCTTTCCGAGCGCAGCCAGCAGCGGGAAGTCGATGGTCTGCCGATGGCGCAGGATGCGGAGAATCCCATCCAGGTAGACCTGGTCCTTACTGAAACAGCCTGGAAGAGTGGGAGATGTCGGGGAGCGGGAGCCTGGCGCCCCACCACCCTCCCGAACGTCTGCCGACCACAGTAATGGGAGTGATGGCACCGGGCTGGGGTGACATGAGTGTGCCAGGGTTGCTGGTGCCACGGCTGGGACCGCTGGGTCCTAAGGGATGAGTAAGCACTGGTGAGCGATACCAGGGATGACGGAGGCAGCTGGGTGCAGTGAGAGCCCCAAACCTCTCACTGGGATGCTCTCACCCTTCCTCCCAATGGGTTTAAGGATAAACCACTGCAAGAACCCAAAGGCATCCCAAGAAATGCTCATTTTTTTCCTCTCCTTTGGCTGCTGGAGTGTGTGCGAGTCGCTCCCATCCATCCCCACCTGACCCTGAGCAGCCAAAGAGCTGATGTGGCAGGATTGCAACATAAAAGATCACTGCCACAAAGACAAATGTAAACCCAGAGGAGACGGCGCCGGGGCTGGGGAGGGATGCGGGGCGGATGCAATGGGGTGAGCGACGCTCAACCCACCCCGCAGCAAAACACCCCTGTTTTTTCTTTTGAAAAAAAAACAAAACCCCACACTATAAAATCCCTTCCAAAACTCCAGGGCTTTGCACTCCCCCGAGCGGTACCTGGCCGTGAGGTGTCAGTCTGACCCCGCTTTGCCCGCACGCAGTACTCCCACCGGACGCCGGCGTCCTGGACGTACTGCTCCAGGTCCTGGAAGAGGGCGGAGAAGGAGAGGCGGCTGGCCCGCTCGATGGTGTAGTAGAGCAGGGCTGCCCGCCAGAGGAAGGGCTGCTTGCGGAAGAGGACGCTGTGCAGGCTGGCCAAGCCTTCCTCCGTGGGGTTGGCGGGCTTCAGGCTGTACTGCTTGCGGCCCTCGGAGCTGTGCCAGGGCTGGCGGGTGTTGTTCACCCCCCGGAGGTAGTGGGTGCCTGGGGAGGGGAGGATGGGAGACAGCGCTGTCGGACGCAGCCTCCAAAAAAAGCTCGACCCCTTGCCCACTCCCCGAGTCGCTGGGGTTGGGGCTGAGACCCAGCCACCGATGGGTACCAGCTCCAGTCTGGGCTGGAGATGCTGCCACGGGACATCTGCTCGCTCCGGTGCCCAGGGCAGACACACGGGTGGGTGCCTGACACCCCCTGCCCCACATGCAGGGAGGGACCCAGGTGGCCTCAGTCCCCTCCCAAACCTGCCCGGTGGGCATCACCTTGCTCCGTGGTCCCCGCTCAGGCCGTTACCCCGGTGACAACCAGAGGATGCTCATAGCATCCCCCCGGCTCTGACCTATCTCGTGGAGCAGCATACCCTCCATCCAGTGCTGCCGGGCTCCGGCCAGGTTGATGGCCAGCGTCGGCCGGCTGTCCTCCACCATCATCACCGCCTGGGACAGGAGGTCGTCGGTGAGCTGCACCACCACCTGCAGAAGAAGAAGAAGGAGGCAACTGGTGTCACTGCTGCTGCGGGAGGAGATGCTCAGCCGGGTCTTGGCTCTAAGCAGAGGCTGAGGTGGCGGCGGACGGTCAGAAAAAGCCACCAATGCTGCAGACAGCACTGCTGCACCATCACCGACGTGTGCTGAGCCCAAAGAAACCACAGGTAGGAGAGGCATGGAGGGGGTGCCAAGAGGAAACAGAGGATCCCATGCCGGGGAGGGGAATGAAATAACTTCTTTAACCTTTTTACAGCCAGCAAATCTGAGCGGGCACCATGGGGGGAGCGCACAGCTCCTGGGCAGCCCGGCACCAGCATCCCCCTGGCTTCAGCATCCTCCCTGGCAGCACATTCCCGTGGGCTCCGCACAATTTAGGGGACACAGCGATGGGCATCCTCCGGAGACCAGCCCACTCCCACTCCCGCAACCCCACTAGCACAGGGCGGTGCAGGAAATCCACTCACCGAATCCACCCTGCTCTAAAAACCAACAGCACCCACTTCATTATGAGTCCAACCTCTTAAACCCCCCACGCCCCCCACCCCAACAAACACACCCTGAGAGAACCAAGATTCTGGCTCCATTTTCATGGACTCTCCTGCGGATTCTCCCTTTCGAGACTCCAAGACACGAGCAGCGAGGAGGGACCCACGCCAGCCCACCCCTCGCAGTGGGAACCGCGTGTGCCGGCCATGATTCACAGATGGGCAACGCACGCGCAGGACTGGAGAACATCTTTATACAGAAAAAAACCATCTGTTTTGGGACACTGGGCTATCGCGAGTGCTGGAGCCAAGACAGCTGCTCTGCGTTAACGTGAGTTAATGTGCCAATCAAGCAGCATTCTCTGACCATCCGACTTCAGACCTGCAGCGAGTCGAAGCCACAGCATTGCCAGAGGAGACTTGTGGCTCTGCCGCGTCCCTGGGAGCTCTCGCATCCGAGGTTCGGCCGCAGCAATGCTCAGGACCTTCAGGGACACACCGGTTTCATCTCAAACCCCTTTCCCTGTGTACATATTAACTCTAACACCCAGCTATTATTATCTCACAGCTGATGCTTTTCAGGATGAAATGTGCACGCACATTACTACGCGACAATTTTTCTGTCTTACTTAAAAAAAGGAGAGGAGACCGAATGGGTTTGCTTTAACCCAGATTTATTATCGTGCAAAGCTGCTTACGGAAGCCAGAAGTGCAACTTAACAGAGCAGAGTCGACGACAAACAGCACGAAATACTTACAATGCAATTGCTTACCTGGATTAAAACATATCAGCATGAAAGAGAATCCCTCCAGCTCCGAGAAAAGACTCACCAGTTCACTTCTGACTTGTGTACGTCTCCTCGAGCTGTATTTCTGCTCCAGTAAGCAAGTCAAAATTAATAAGGGCTGCTCCTTCGCTGCCTTCTCCCACATCCAGCCATGGACTGTGGTAAACCAGAGGCAGGGGACTGATCTGGACTAGAACTCTTTTCACGCTCTGGGTTAGTTTCCAGCAAGATCATCACCACATGAGCTCCCACAGTGGTGGAGCTCTTGGTGGGGAGAAGACTTTTGGCACCAGCACCAGCTTCTGCTAACAGCCCTGCCTGGAGCTGCATCAGGCTGGGAAGGTTACGGCTTCACCACAAGCAGAAATAAGGAGGCAGGAATGAGCCAGATTTTGGCATGGTTTTCACCAACTCCCATCTCTTAGGGCAGCTCAGAGTGATGGGAATACAGCCCGGACATCCCAAATGCGACGAGCAGAGGCTGAAATCCTGGGATGCGGGAGGGGACGGGGAGAGCCACGGGCCAGAGTTTAAACCAAAAGATAGATGGGGAACACATTTCATCATCGCAGCACTTTCCTTGCTCCCTCGAAGAGACTGCAGCACAGAGCTGGTGCCTGGACCCTGTGACAGCCCCTGGTCCCCAGGTCTTTGTTGCCCGACGTGCGGCTCTTCCAGGGAGCGCCGGAGACGATGCACTGTGTCAGCCCTATCTCCGCCACCAGGATACAGGATGCTCAGCTGGCTGGGAGCAGTCCATGAGGCCAGGTCCACATCTTGCTGTCTTCCCACACTTCATTGCCCCTATATGGGGAAAAATAAACCCCAAGAAGGTTGGAATGTAGGGTACTAGATGCAGAAAAACTAACTTCTTCCCTACGATAAATGCTCTCATTCTTACACTTGCTTCCCCTCAGCCTGTTAAAAAAATACCGCGCCCTCATGAACCCCTCCTCTCTGCTTTTCTCCATTTTCCAGCTGCTCATCCTCAGCCATATCGCACGGGACTCCTCCAGGCGCCATCCCCGGGCGACTGGGATTCAGCGGCTCCAGGTGCCCCCGTACCAGCGCCGGGACCTGCTGCAGCAGGGTCAGCCCCGCCGGCGCATTTCGGGAGGCTGGTGCTCGCTTGGCGTCCCTGCAACGGTTCAAAGTTCCCTCGTGCAATTTCAAAAGCTATCTCAGGATACCGCACTTAGAGCACCCGCACGAGTGAAATATAAACCCAGGAATTTACCCACATAGAGTGCTACATGGGTAAATGCTCCATGCAGCTCATCTCTGGTGACCTCCAGCTCTCCCTTCCCATCTGCATCTTAATTCTAAGGAAAACTCTTATTATAACCCAAATGTCTGTCCATCACCTGTCTACGGCTTTTTCCTCTGCTGTACTGGGAATGCCGCGTGCTGCATCCTACGCTGCCTCTTCCCTGCTGTTACCCAGGACAGCACCCGAGCATCCTACCGGGGCTGAGCATCCCTAAAGCAGACATACATCCCGCTTTAATAACCACTGAGCAACATACGCAACAGAGTGCTCTGGCTTTAAAAACCCCGATTTTTTATACTATATTGGTGGTGTTTTATGCTACAGGACAAGTCAATGGTGACCAGGCTGCGCGTTCCCAGTCCTGAGATGGTGAAAGCCACACAGTGCGATGTGAGCACCAAATGAGCTCATCCAAATCACATAAAGGCAAGTGCCATCCCACAACCTGAACAGGAGGCAGACTGTATAGTCCAAACCCCTTTTTTATTTTTTTCCCTTTTTTCTTTTCCTATCTGATATCACCCACGTGCAGGGCGAGCAAAGAGAAAGGCAGCAAACAGCTGGAAAAATAAGAGGCGGCTGAGGATGCGACGCTCAGCACTGAAGTCAGGTCTCGCACGAGCCCTTTTTAGGCAAGGCAGCAAGAGCTGGAATGCAGACCGAAGCATTCCCTGGGATACAGCATTTGGAGAAAGACCCAAAAGCACAGAAAAATTTGGTTCGCAACAAGTTGGGACACTGCTGGAGACTGAGCACAGAGGGGAGGGTGCAGCTGAAGTAACCGGGCTGTGTTTTCAGGAATTAAGAAAAACTCTGAGCAAAAGCACCCCAGAGCCTTTTGAGGAAGAATTCAAGTCCGAGAGACCACTTTTGATATATATTATTTTTTTTTCTGTTCTCATGATGAAGAAAAGGTAAAGGAGACACAGAAATAGCAACACTGAATTATATGGAGTGGAAACTATTTTTCCCAGTACAAGAGCTGGATGGCATCAAGCGAAGTGGTTAGGAAGCAGATTCAGGATGAAGAGGCATCAGCAAACAGTGCAACCTGCAGCACGGGGTTTGCGACGGTTCGCAATCAGGTAGGCAAATTAACGGCAGGGGTTTTACAGGCAGGAACACCCCCTGAGTTGGGAAGACACAAGGCTGCCACAGCCCCAAGGGAAATTCGCCATCCCTGTCCTAAGGATGGAAAGATGCTGGGACAGAGCTGGGTATGGGAATAAGGGACCGAAACGGACTGATCCAGGGGTTGGGAAGTGGGATCAGACACTGCTCAGAGAGGCTGAGAGCTCCTGCAGCCACGGGTACAGCTGCAGGTCGCAGTGTCCCCGCAAGAGCCTATGGATTTGCCCAGCGGCCACCACAGCGAGAAGACGACGGGCAAAACCCCACGATGTCATTCCTCAGATGTCAGTCTGATGACTTTTTGGAGGCGTTGCCTTGGGCTGTTTTATTTTTCCCCCCTTATTTGTCAATGCAGTGATACAGCGTTGTTTTTTCGTATTGAACAGAGATGCCAAGAACCACCCCATACCAAGCCGGCCGGCAGCGATGGGAAGCGACCCTCAGCATTGCCGGAGACCGCAGCTTCGCACGCTCTCGTTCCGCTGCCTGCAGCCCTTCTCCGGCTGCAGCAGCCCCTCCGCCCGCTGAGCAGCACCACTTGCCTTGTTTCGGGACCCTCCAGCTTTGCCGAAGCTGTTACAACAGGGGCTGCGACTTCAGCCACGCCAGCTCTCCGGGTTCGTGACCTTCCCAGCAGGATCCCCAGCGCATCCTCCTGCTCCACGAAGCTTCTGCTCAGCTTTTGCGGATGTGAGGATGGAGAAAGAGCTCATTGCCAGGAAGTGAGGGAGGATGGCTGACGGCTCCTGCCTGCCCCCAGCTCCCTGGCGCTGCCAGCAGCCCGTCCGTCTGCTCCAGACCTCATGTGCCAACAACGCGGTGGCACTGAGCAGCTCCAGGATGGAGAGGCACCACCAATGGGATCCCAGGAGACGCTAGCTAGCATTATTTAGGCTAACAGCATTTCACAACCCCTGGGGATTGCCACGCAGCACTTACCAACGGGTCCAGGGATTTCTCTGCTGCAAGCTGGGAGCTCACTGAAATCTGCATGGAGACCTCTGAGCTCCGGCAGCGTCACCTCGGTCCTGAGCCAGAAGGAAAACAGAGAGAGCTTCAGGATCCGCCGCTCGGAGCCCGATGCAGAAGCTTTTGAAAACGCAAAGTTAATTATAGTGCAAATACTCACCCACCAGCGCGGTGCCGGGGAGCGGGATCCTGCCTTCGCCCATCCAGGGACAAAGGGCAGCTGCCTGCAGCGACTGCCACCAGCCCCACCGCCCTGCCTGCAGGCAGCGCAGGCAGCTGGTGCATCAGCGGGTCGGTCTCTGGGATAAGGCGAACACCACCTCCCGCTACAGTTTCTTCTGCTTGGTTATTTTTTTTTTCCCCACTCCCAAGAAAGCCATCGCGATTAATACATAACCGGGAAGCAAACGGCATGGAAGAGCAGGTGAAAGCTGGGAATCGCAGATACACGTCGGAAACCGCCCAGCTCCCCGACAGGGTGTTATATTATCAGCCACGCAGAAGTTTCAGCAAGTTTTTTGTTCTGTACGGGGAGTGGGGGGAATTTTGTCAGCATCGCTGTACCGAGAGCAGATGAAACCCTTCCCTCTTCCCCGCCTCGGAGAAATTCAGCACAATTTGCAACGGGTGGGAAGGACCAAACTGACGCTTTAATGTTTTTTTTAAAAGCACTTATCAAAAGTTTCGGATAAAAGGGCCACATATCTCGCACGCCAGTGTGCAAACATAATTACTGAACGCTGCGTTCCCCCGAGCAAAGGGAAAATTACAGCGGGCTGGAAGGCAGCCAGTTGTACACCAATACGTAAGGAAAAAAAGACGGCTTTCTGCCCAGCCAGAGCTCGACTCGGGTTGCAATTAATGGAGAAGAGCAAAATAGCTGAATGAATAAAATCAAGAGAGAGACCACAAGGAGCAAGCCATGAGCGCGGGTCTGTCGGTCAGACTGGTACTGGGTACTGGGACTGGTTCTGGCTGCTAAAAGGCAGCTGATTTATAGGAAGAGGTTTGCAGAGATCCTTTCTGTCCTAAGTCCTTTTGAGGACCAAGGGGCCAAATCCACATCCCGGGGACGCCCCTGGGGCAAACAAAGGTGGCTTGGAGGAGGAACTCCCCCAGCAAGGTGGAACCTTGGGGAACCGCTCACTCCTGCTTTTGCAGGTACGAAACGCACCAGGTACTGCCGAGCAAGGTGATGCCGCAGGGAAATGCTCGTCAAGAAGCCTGTTTGGAGACGGAAGTGAAAAATCAGAGCTAGGAAAAATAGTCTGGCCAAGGGGCAATGGTGAGGAAGCCCCCCTGCCCCCCACCAGCCAGAGCTGCAGCCAACAGCAGAAGGCAGCCCCGCAAGCCCCCAAAAAATCAAAGCCAGGTCCGGAAAGCCTTCTCACCGCTCGCGCGCAGGACAGTGGAAGCGTTTTGCCCACACCTCGCTGGCAGGAAGGGGAAAAAAAACCCAAAAGCCCCTTAACCGAAGCTGTGGGACATCCCAAGTTGAGGGCACAGAGAAACCAGACTGCGATGCTGAACTTCCCCCCTCCTCACTCCATCCCACGTGGCTACCATCGCCTCTTAACCACACATTTCCCAGCCTTAAAACCCGAGCTTGGGGTTTTAAAAGCTCTGTAACCCAGCACATCCCGCAGGAGAGCAGGAAATCTCTTCCCCTCCCCCCCAGGATTTTGGTTTTGGCCACATGAGCGAAGGCGGCTGTCGGATGGTACTGCCGCTACCAGCAGGAGAGGACTTCCCGACGGTAATTGATGCCTCATGCACGCAGCAAAAGGCTCCTCGCACGGCCACGCGGACAAGCAGCAGCTCCTTTCTCTCTCTCAAGCATAAAAGGGTGATAGACCGAAAAAAAAATCAAGGGAAACTGGTGGGGAACCAGCACCCACGTCCTAACGCCAGGGTACAGCGACCACAGCCAAGGCAGAGGAAAGGACACCACAGCTCAAGAGCAGAGAAGTTTCTTCGTTGTATCTGAGACACTTCTTAATCTGAGTCGTTTTTATCAGAAAATAAATATTTTACAAGTGCTAGCGCAGGGACGCGGATTACCTCTCCCACGCAGCCTTCCTTCTGCATGTACTTTCGGATGACGGACCAGATCTGGCACTTGCTCAGCAGCCTCCCGCCGGTGGCCACTTCGAAGCTCTCGTAGGTCCCGTACTTCTCCAGGACGGCACGAATGATCCTGATCGCCTGTCGCACGCAGAAACCAAACATCAGTGCAAACGCCCTCCCCGCTTAGAAACGTGCCTTAAAATCCCCCGTGCAACAAAACCCAGCGCAGATAATCCCTGATAAACGCCTGTAGAGTGAGGCACAGGTTTGCAATACCTAAAAAAATCCGAGGTGACTGCCAGGTGGAGGTGGCCACCAGGACAGACAGACACCTAAAGCAACCAGCATGCCCCGCAGTATCTTCTTTCTGCTTTTTATCACCCGTGCGAGCCTCTGTTTGCGGGAAGCGAAAGGGCACCGTCGCAGCGCGCCACCTCCGGAGGTTAACGCCGCGATTCTTTGCGTCTTTTGTGCTTTCGGTTCTCCTCTCCAACTCCAGCGCTTGCACAAAGAGGTTGAGTTTATCGGGTTGCTTTTCACTCCCAAGAGCTGCTTCTCGCAGTGCCGGGTCGCGAGCCCGGCGGGGAGGCTGGGCATCACCGGCATCGCCCTGTCCTCCCCTTCGGCCTCAGCACAACCAGCCTCCTGCACACCAACGGCCTCCCAATAAAAGCAGCATGCACCATTTCATCAGCATTAACATTTACGGAGCATCTATAAAATACGAGCATTTATTAGCATGTTTCCACCCCCAAAAATGAGTTTTCACTGTAGGCATTTTCAAGCAACAACTTTCTCCAGCCTATCAATATATATTCCAAAGCAGATGATGATGACTTTGCACCAGTTCTGGAGTTTTTTTCCAGCAGTTTTTATAGCATCCGGAAACCTGGCTGAGCTGCTGTCGGCCTTCCCAGCCCGGCACCAAGCGCTCCTCCTCAACGCCGTGTGGTTCTACCTCCTCCTGCTCAACAAATCCCCTTTGCTCTCTCGTACGGGTTCCAGGCAGCAGCCGGAGCACTGAAGAGGTTCCAGCCCCCTAAGGTCACCCTGCCAAGGAGGCCCCAGCCCCTAAGGTCCCCCAGCCAAGCAGGTCCCATCCCCTATGATCTCCCTGCCGAGGAGGTCCCATCCTCTAATGTCCCCCTGCCGAGGAAGTCCCATCCCCTAAGGTCACCCTGCAGAGAAGGTCCCATGCTTTAAGATCATGATCACACTGCAAAGGAGGTCCCAGTCCCTAAGATCCCCCTGCCAAGGAGGTCCCATCCCCTAAGGTCCTCCTGCCAAGGAGATCCCATCCCTTAAGATCACCCTGCAGAGAAAGTCCCATCTCCTAAGATAACCCTGCCAAGGAGGTGCCATCCCCTAAGGTCCCCCCGCCAAAGAGTTCCCATCCCCTAGATCACCCTGCCAAGGAGGTCCCATCCCCTAAGGTCCCCCTGCCAAGGCGGCCCCAGCCCCTAAGGTCACCCTGCAGAGAAGGTCCCATCCCCTAAGATCACCCTGTCGAGGAGGTCCCATCCCCTAAGGTCCCTCTGCCAAGGAGGTCCCATCCTCTAAGATCATGATCACCCTGCCGAGGAGGTCCCATCCCCTAAGGTCCTGCTGAGGAGGTCCCATCCTCTACGATCACCCTGCCAAGGAGGTCCCATCCCCTATGATCACCCTGCCGAGGAGGACCAGCCCCTAAGGTCATGATCACTCTGCAGAGGAGGTCCCATCCCCTAAGGTTCCCCTGCCAAGGAGGTCCCATCCCCTAAGGTCCCACTGCCGAGGAGGTCCCATCCCCTAAGGTCCCACTGCCAAGGAGGTTCCATCCCCTAGGGTCCCCTGCCAGAGGAGGTCACATTCCCTAAGGTCCCCTGCCAGAGGAGGTTCCATCCCCTAAGGTCCCTCTGCAGAGAAGGTTTCATCCCCTAAGATCACACTGCCGAGGAGGTCCCATCCCCTATGATCACCCTGCTGAGGAGATCTCATCCACTAAGATCACCCTGCAAAGGAGGTTCCATCCCCTAAGGTCCCCCTGCCGAAGAGGTCCCATCCCCTAAGGTCACCCAGGGTCCGGAGATGGGTGCTCCCCACCAGTACGAGCGCTCAAACCATCCAACACCCCACAGAGGAGCCTCATGGGCTGCCTCCGGTGAGCAGCCTCCCCTACCAGGTCCTGATTTTTCCACCCCTGAACAAGTTTCCTCTACTCAGCTGGTCTACATCCTCCACTCACTTATTGTGTCATTCCAGGAGAAGTCACGCAGGGCTTTTGTGTTGTTGTTTTGTGGGGTTTTTTTTGTTTTGTTTGCTGAACCATCAGGACAATTTTTGCAGCACCGCAAGGCACCTCCTGCTGACAGCGGCAGAAAAAGGACCATTTCTTCCTCCCACCTCTGCTCAGCCACTTGCTCCCTCCTCCCAGGGGACCCAACACACCGAGCCAAGAGAAACCCAGCGCAGCTGGTGCCCAGGAGTAAGGCAACCAAATAGCACGCTCCCCACCGACCTCCAGCACGCACCCCAGTGAGCAAAATTCCTAAAATACCGAGTTTAGTTTCCTGCGAGGCCGCTGAGCATCCCTGGCCAGCCCGAAATCACACGCCTGCCATACACCGAGGGATAACAAACCCTCCAGCCCCGGCTCCCTGCGGATGCTGCCGGCGTTCACACGACAAGCCGGGCGACGTGACTGGTGCCATGAGCGAGAATGGGCTCATGGGCTAGAAGAACCCTTCTGGATTGACTTTGATTTTCTATTAAAATGATTAACGCAGATTTTGAAAAATAAAAGCAGTTTAGAGCTGATAGTTAGCTGGCAAGGGAAAAAAAAGTCTTCCGAAATAAAAGAGGCTGGAAGGAGGTTACTGCAGGGCACGAGCAAAGGAGAGTGTTCACACTGGTTACGGACACTCGATTTCATTCATGCAAAGCAACGCGCAGAAGCAAATAATCTCAATTATTCATCTTTTACTATGTCGTGAGCCAACTGTGCCAAAAGAGAAAGCAAAGGGGGGAAACAGCTCTGAACAACTCATTTTATGGCTTTACTCGGAGAATGAAAAGCACTTAAATGCAGGAAGAAAACACAGAAAAGCCGACGAGGTCTTCAGAGGAGTCAGACTGTCTCCCCTGCAACAGCAATCGCTGGCACCAGTGTATCTGGGGCAGAGGTACTGGAAACGCCTAAGCGCTTCGAAAGCTGTTTACAGAACGAGCCGGAAACAGCGGGATAATAAATCAGGCAGAGATATAGGGAGTAATGCAAGAAGAAGTAAACATTCCAAAACAAATACATAAATTGGGGCAGAAGTTGTTACTCAGAACACGGGACGCAAGGTCCCAGCTCGGAGGTGTAAAGAGATGCCCCTGGCGCGCACATCTGAATTTAAGATCAAGAGTTTTTCCATCCTCGGATGCAGCTAAGAAGGGTCCGTGTGGCCAAAAGGATGCTCTGGCCCCAGGTGGGATGCCCAGTCCGAGGAGCAAACCGGTTTTGGGGCATTGCTGGGCGCCCAGCTGCGAACCCAGAGCAAAGGGAGGGAGCGGCTCCGTTCCTGCCCATTCCCTCCTGCTCCAACGGCCGGCTGCTGGCCGCTCGCTGCCATCCACACATCATTATTCCCCGCAGCTGAGATGGGAATATTTCGGCCACGTGTGAGCAATGGAAGCAGTTAAGCCAAATAGCGACTGCCTTAAAGTGGAGTCTACACCAACTATCATCACTCCCGGCCACGCTCGGTGACGTGTTAAGGATGCTGCCACGCAAGAGGACCTTTAGGCCTTCCAGAAAACAAACCGGACTTGGTCCTTCAGGCTAAGAACCGTTTCCCATGCGGTCACCCATGCGCTCCAGCTCCTTGTCTGCTATTTCTACAGCAACAAGGGCAAGACCTAATAGCAAGGGTGGACCAGATGACCCCTGAGGTCCCTTCGCAGAATGGTAGGTGTTGGAAGGGACCTCTGGAGATATCTAGTCCAACGTCCCTGCCAGAGCAGGGTCACCTACAGGATTGCATCCAGGTGGGTTTTGAACACCTCCAGAGAAGGAGACTCCTCCACCTCTCTGGGCAGCCTGTGCCACTGCTCTGCCACCCTCACAGGAAAGAAGTTCCTCCTCAGGTTGAGATGGAATTTCCCATGTTCCAGTTTGTGCCCATTACCTCTTGTCCTGTCACTGGGAGCCACCGAAAAGAGCCTGGCCCCATCCTCTTGCCACCCACCCTTTAGATATGTGTAAGCATTGATGAGATCTCCTCTCAGTTGTCTCTTCTCCAGGCTGAGCAGCCCCAGGGCTCGCAGCCTGTCCTCCAGTCCCCCCATCATCTTCCAACCCGGTATTCTATGAAGGGGTCCCTGACGGAGCTCCAGCTCCTGACCATCACCGTGCAGCTGTCAGCAAGGACCGGTTTGATGCTGGTAGCATCACCCAGCACCAGCATGACCATCAACCACAGAGAACGTACTATTCCTGCAGGTGGGGCAGGTAACTACAGAAGAGTTTAAGAAATCACAGGGCGAGCGTGCTGAAGGCAGGAGAGAAAAGATGTCGAGCACAGCAAGACGGGGCAGCAGAATCACAGAATGATCTGGATTGGAAGAGACCTTGAAGATCACCCAGTCCCACCCCCCTGCCCTGGGCAGGGACACCTCCCACCAGCCCAGGTTGCTCCAAGCCCCGTCCAACCTGGCCTTGAACACCTCCAGGGATGGGGCAGCCACAGCTTCTCGGGGCAACCCAAAGCCGGGAAGGAACACAGGGCCACACGGTTTCATGTGGACCATGGACCACCTCTTGGCCAGTGTGACCACGGAGAGGTCCCACCGTGATACATCCCGCTGGCATCGGGGGTGTGTGTGTGTGTGTGTGTGTGTGTGACACCGCCCTACGCAAGGACACCCACACCTTCACACCGGGAGGGAGTGGGGCCATTGTTCTTATTCCTCCTTCTCTTCTTCCTCATCCTCCTTCTCCTCCTCTTCTTCATCCTCCTCCCCCCC